CTGCTTCGACTGGTGACAGTCGCCCTCGCAGTAGTTCTGTCCCCCGCTACGTGCTCCACACCAGGCTGGGCGGGCAGGGTGACGATGATGACGCCGATGATGATCGCGAGGCCGAGCAGGCACGCGACCGCGCACCAGATGAGCAGGTAGAGGGTGTGGCTGGGGGGCGGCGTGTCGCCGGCGGCGGGGTGGACGGCCGCCGCCTCCCAGTGGCCGCGGTCGACCGGAGGCAGCCGGTGCCAGCTCCAGGACACGCGGTCGGGCGGCACGGTGTGCGGCCGGATCGGCGGCCACGCCGCCGAGTCGAGCGTCGAGCACGGCTCGGTCAGTGGCGAGTCGGGGTTGACGGAACGGGCTGCTGAACTGGCCGAAGAGTGGCTGGGCGCTGGCGGAGGGGCGGCCGGCACTGAGTTGGGCCGAGTGCTGCCGGCCAGATGCTTCGATGACCTGGGCGCATGCTGGGTTCTCCTCGCGAGTTGCGTAGTCGGTTCATGACTCCGCACCGGTTTGGGCTTAGTTGTGGGCATATTTGTCGTAACTGCGCGGAGTTTCGATTCTTTTAGTCTTCCGCGCGTGAAGTGTGTAGCTAGGGTCCCTCATCGCTCAAGGTGCATTGTTTTCGCATATCGATTTCGAGCTTGGGACCATGTAACGGCCTGTTCACTACAGCTGAGGATTCGAATTCGCAGGGCTAGAATATATTTGAAAACGCTTAAATCTTGCAAATCCTCAAATACCAAAAACGAATGCTCGCATCCTGATTGTCAGGATTCGAACTTTTTACCACTCCCGAATCATAAAATGCCTCATTTGGATGCATAAATAAATACATTAAACAGAGCTTAAGCACAACTTTTCTCCAACTAAGCCAAGTATAGCACGGACAAGTCGGCGTTGCATCGGCCTGAGCAGCCCATCCTCAGTTTGGATGCATTGCATAACCTATTACTGGATCCAATTATTGTGTTTACCAGACTTGTGCTCGACTCAGGCTGAATAGCACATCGTCTCCTCAGTCAATTATTTTGGGGTGAGTCGCGGGTTGAGTCGGCTCGTGAGGAAAAATGTCACTTTGAGCCAGGGGTTGAATCACATTCTTCGTAAATTTCATGAGCTGAATCGTGAGCCGATCATATCTGCCAGTGAGTCATATATCACTGACAAAACAAATCAAAATGGTGACATGAGAAAACACAGCATGCCCCAGACAAGCTAACAGATCATTTTAAGCGTTTATACAAACAGCATGTATCACTAGCCATAAATTCGCTTTCAGAACCAGCACAAAGTTTATTATGGATATTTCTGAGCAGCAAGTACAACACTGCTGATCTTGATCTAAAATCTGCCAATCTGATACAGGAACTAAAGGATATTGCTTGGTACGGACATCCTACATTCCTGTATCTTATTTTAAAATCACTAAAACACTGTCTGCTACGTATGCAGCCAAGCTGCTATACAAAGCCAAGTCTGCTATATACAAGCCAAGAGCTGGTCATAGTTTTCATTGGCAATTATCATAACAGTGAACTAACCCATACTTGATCGCTCATTCTTTACTGGAACTGCCATAAGTATGTCATTGCTGAGGCTATGTGAAATAAACAACAATAGTGGCAGGATCGCCTTGTGCCATTTGCAGATTGCATGTTGGGGGCATGACCGTTCGGGGGTTGCGTCAATAACTGTGATATAAGTATAATAACATCAATAACTATAATAACATAACATCAACATAACAATAGCATCAATACCTATAATAACATAACATCAGTATAACAATAACATCAATAACTATAATAACACAGTTCCAGTTTTAAAATCGGCAAGTGATTCTGATGTGTCGTTCTCGTTGGACCACATTTAACGTAGCTATGCATTTGAAAGCAATATCAAACATACTCATGCTTTTGCCAGGTAATCTTGATTGTTAATATTTATTCTTCATGACTTTTTCTTTGGCGCCAATGGGCTTCGTTTTTGCTGTGGGAGCACGCGCAGGCCGCTGATGCGTGGGAGGGCGCGGAGCATTGAGTGCATGGGGCGCGTATGGTTCTGTGCCATGAATGGGAGCCCTGTCCTTATGTCGTTTTTACTTGGCCCGTGCTAGTCCTTATCGTGTTTTCATCCTTCGCCGCCCCGCACTTTGACTCTTAACTCATAATAGAGCAGCATGATGATATAGGTTTGCGGTATCCTGACGGAAGCGACAGTCGGCGCCTAGGCTGGCCATCTCTGACGCATCTGTTCAGTTCAGTTCCTTGCTGATCAGAAAACGGGAGTCGAGAGAAATATATTTTACTGGGCTTATTTGTGTAATCGTAATTCGTCATACTGATTACCCAAGTGAAGAAATTTCATAACATGTAACTAAGCAAGCCGTTGCTGCAAGAACTGCAATCCGATATTGAACTGTTGCCATGCCGTCGCGCCGGTATGGTTAGCACTGGTTAGTGGAAGTATGGCCTACGTTTGAGCACCCTTGGCTGGCGCTTGGCAGGTGCAGAATGCCAGCTGTCAGGTTCAGTACAGTCTAGTCCACATTGCATGCTATATAACTGATGGGTCTGGGTCATAGGACCCAAGCAGCATGTGCTAGCCTAGCGCTGAGACTTGAGAGAGCTGGTTGAAAACATCTTTCAGTAAAGGTACTTTTGCTACACTGCATTTTCTAGGTTCAAACTATAACGTTGCTATTAGGCTATATATGTATATATATATATATATATATATATATATATCTCTCTCTCTCTCTCTCTCTCTCTCTCCTCTCTCTCTCTCTCTCTCTCTCTCTCTCTCTCTCTCTCCCTCTCTCTCTCTCTCTCTCTCTCTCTCTCTGTGTGAATGTGTCATATGCCTCACGAGTTATAAGACAACGATCCAGAACTGAATCAGATCTTTGAATTTGCAAGTTGCATGAGTCAAGAGCCAAATGATTCAATGCAAGCGATAAGCCTGAACTTAGCGCTGAATAAAAAACATTGGAAACACTGAGTCGCGAGCTGAATCGGATCCCCAATTGGATAAAAGTTTTTGAATTGAACAGCCCAACTCAAAGAGCCCGAGGTGTCGCCACGAATTATTGACGGGGTGGGCTGGAGGTAGAGCACAATACAGAGCCTCCATCCGACAATGAGCCTTCTAAGCCCCACGGAATCTACTCGAGCGAAGAGGTCTGTCATGCCTAAACGTGTATATAAACTTGATTCCTCAGCTTGATTCTCAGTTTAGTGCTCATCAATCGCCACTGTGCGAATATAATAAGGCTTTCAAGGGACGGTTGCCTACGCATTATAGTGAGAGGAGGTGATCTAATGACCAAACGAATTTCAGTATAAGTGCCTTGTTGTTGCATGCTCAGAGAGCAACATCAGCCAAAAGGTTATCTTTTCTCCAATGTGGTGGCTTTGTCCTGTCGTTTTTTTGTTATTTTTGTCTGGTAATTTTGCCCACACAACGTATCAGTAAATAAGATGGCGTAGACACGGCGCTAGAACGAACGTTGGCGCAGCACAGTCTGGCATGTCATTCTCCATGTATCATCGAAAACCAACACCTCCAGATCAGTCATCCACATAATGGCACCAATCCATTTGCCCTGAAATTGTGTACAGTTGGATGTGCGGCACTGGCAGAACCGTAGAGAACAGCCAGCCCGAAACTGATTAAATCGACGTAAAGTGAAAACTATATGACGTTACTGTTTAAAGATCTTGAGCCAAACTTTCGACTTTTTAGTCGGATGTGTTCGGATCGCGAGTCAGCTCTCGTAGCTCAGTCGGTTATAGTGTCTGCATCCTGACCTGCGCGTGGCTGGGGTGCGTGGGTTCGGGGTGCTGTGGCGCTCAACTTTTTCCCCCTGGCTAGCATGGCCTGCGGCCGGTGGCAGCGGCCACTTAAGGTCAGATGAGGTCAGAGGGCGAAGCATACCGAGCCGAGCACTGCAGCAAGTTGAGCTTTAACCAAACACTCCGTCGTTGAGCTGGGAGTTCACGATCGGATGGTGAGGTCGAGGGGCATCCAAACTTGCCCTGCCTAGTGCAGGCTCTGACCTTAAAAACCCATTCTTTCAAAATGCTGAGTTAGAAAAAGCCGAACCCGAATGTCGAATTCCAGCTAATCCTCAGCTCTTCTGTTCACGGAGTCTGGCACATCAAAACCCGAGCTAACGAGGGCATTTGGTCCCAGTTGCTACGAACATGTTGATGTCAGTCACTAGCCCAGCGATATCATTTTCCTACGCAATTAGCTGGTCGCGCTGGTTTCGCAAGGTGTTAGCAGAACTAAATTGTAGAGTTTCTGCGCAATGGCGGCCGTCACGAGGATATGATATGGTCTGATCTGACACCAAACTGATACCTCTGTGGACTAAATTACATCTACATGTATCCAGCCTGCTCCCGTCATACCATCGAAGGAGAAAGTATGGGTATAGCGACGGTGACAATAATGAACAGCAACTGAACTTCTGGCTATCCTTTCAAACCCACACCAAGGGCTGAGCAAGATCGGACACCGGCAGAGTCACAACGGCGCGTGTCACAACGCTCAGCACACCTCCAGCCGTACCAACCAGCCTAAGCGAATCACGAAGCGTAAGCTCTGGCGCAGCCGTCAGTGGGCCAAATCGCGACAATCTACCAGCTACGCAAATTTGGCTGACGCGGACCTTTCAACAATTCACCAGCGCGCAACTACCACTGGGGCAGGAGGGGTCCGAGACCAACCACCACCCGGGTCAGAGGGGTCCGGGACCAACAGCCGCTGCGGCCGGAGGGGTCCGGGACCAACTAAATATGTGTAAAACGGCATCAAATCGTACCAGGTTTCAGTAGCATTCACTGTATGCTCAACCCCATGCAACCAATGTGTCACAAGTCACAACTTATAAATGAAGTATTCACGTCTGTCATGGAACAACTTGGATGTGCCCGCGGTTGTACAGCCAGGTAACCAAATCGTCGTCCCTGCCACGCACATCAGGTAAACAAATGAACTAGCATTATTCTATATACGATACATTTATTTTCGTAGACAATTACGAACAGTCCGGTGAAAGCCTAATTTGATGATGGAGCAGCATCACATACCAGCTATGCGTCACTAGAAAGAGCAATATTGCCGACTTAGAAAACGAGGCACGAAGAACAGACTATACCGGTCATTGCCAATAATGCCCAACACCGCGATAAAACCCCACGCCATCCGTAGCGGGCGAGAAACTCCTGTCCAACAAACACTTGATTTATTTGGCTGCAAGGCAAGAGGATCAGCGGCTCGCGGCGCGTCCAGCGACATCTAGCGACGACCCCAGCGCACCAGGTACGAAGAGCGTAACGCCCGATATCGATACAATAGCGGGGTTACGAGGTCAGCACCAGCTGGCGAGGGGACACCAGCTGCCAGGGAACGCTGAAGGCGACAGCAGCAGCGGCAGCGGCAGCGGCAGCGCAGGAAGTAAAACGGTCCTGCACACTGCCATCATCAACCACTGGGCATCGAGAGGGATCTATTTGAAAATAGTAGTTTTGCTCGCGTATCTTTTAAAGCCGATTGACAACAATTATTTTTCCCATGTGGTCACAGCCAACATGACACCAAAAGCTTCCAAGCGATCAATTTCCTGAGACTCGAAGGTAATAGTCCGTCGAACAGCAGCTGATATGGAAACAATGTAAATTAGGAAGGCCGATTGTCGGAAACATCAAAAAACGCATTTATTTCTATTAGGATGTCTGCAACTTAGACCCAAATGCAAGGGCACCCAATAATTTCATCTCTTATGCAACCAAACAGTCAATCGAACACAACGACGTAAATAAATGAAAAGCTGGATCGGCAAGAAGCGACCCGCATTTCAACTCATACTGTGAGCACCAAGTGCCTGCCAGTCGAAGGACGGGAGCTGTGCTGAGGAGGCTCGTGTGGCAGCGGCGGCGGCCGGTCCTGCGCGCGGTGACTCGACGAGGCGCCGGCAGATGGCTCCAGCGTCGCTATCCGCGCCCCGGACGGCGCCAGGCGCCGCCGCCGCCGCCGCTCACACGCCGCGTCCGCCAATACCCGTTGGACTAGACCGTGGCGTCTAATGCCGGCAAACACCGCAACACGCAAAACTAACACAACCTAGCCGGGAGCTCACGCCGCGAACCGCGGCGGCCACACCTGCAAAAGTAGGAAAACTCAAGTAGGGCCGCGCCTCGGGGGCCGCCATTCACGGAGCGCACGCGACTGCGGAGGGGTGTCGAACCGGAGCGGCGCCGGACAATATCAGCCGCGGGGAGCCGCGCAGCCTACGCGGATATCACTGGGGCGGCCGACCGGCCGGCACGGTCAGTGCGTGCTGACGAAGTGACGCAGGTGCGGCGGCACGTGCGCCGCGTACGCCGGCACCCGGCTGACGGCGCGCGCCGCCAGACACTCGAGCGTGAGGTGGCGGTGCAGCTGCAGCGGCGGGTGCTTGCTGCAGAGCGGGTGCTTGCGGATCAGCTCGCTGAAGGTGCGCCGCTCGCCGTTGACCGTGTCCACGTGCGCGCCGGCCTCGATCAGCGCGCGCATCACATCACTGCGGAACGACTTGTTGGCGGCGAGCGCATGCAACGGCGTGTTGCCGGCGTGGTCGCGCGCGTTCGGGTCACTGCCCGTCTCGAGCAGCAGGTCGACCACCGGCAGCGACGGGAAGGCGCAGATAGGGTAGCGACCCATGGTGGCCGCGTCGCCGGTGCACGCCACGTGCAGCGGTGTCTGGCCGGTGCGCGTGAGCGGCCGGCACCGCTGCAGCTCGTACACCAGCTGGCGCAGCTCGGCCAGCTGGCCGGCCGTCAGCCGTTCCTCCAGCCGCGTCAGCAGGCACAGCAGGTTCATGGCGATGGTCAGCGTGCGCGTGAAGTAGCTGTACTCGCGGTCGACCAGCGGCTGGCGCGCCACCAGCTCCTGTCCCTGCACCACCTCGCGCACGGCCCGCATGAACACCTGCCGGGTGCGGGTCGGACAGCGTCAGCTCACAGCGGCCCGGCGACGCGTGAGCAGTGCGCATACGGCAGGCGGCGACACCGGCGCACGGCCAGCGTCGCCACCACCCAACACGCAGCGGCTGACGCCAGCGCAATGACAGGGCTGGCCCATATCAGATGTAGCCGGCCACGGCGGCCCAACAGCATGCAATCATAGGACGGCATCGCCACCAGTCTGCACAACAGCCATCCACCACTGACAGACAACAATCGGCGGGCAGCGCTGCCTGACCAGTCACCAGACGCGTGAGAAAACTGGGCCCCATCGCTCCAGTCAGAATCGTGTTTAGCCGCATAACTGACACACGCGTCCTCTCTCTGCGGCCTGACAGGACGCCGACACTGCAGATACAACAAACACCGCGTCCGTGAGCCTCGGAGTTCCGGAAAAATCATGAAATCTTGACCGGGTTCGCTGGAGGCGAACGCCGCGCGTTCATTCAAATGGGCTCCCTTTTTCCGAGTGCAAGAAACTTGATTACCAATGGATACGTCGAGCTGAATTCAATGTGACCTTACGCACGATTAGAGTCTATTTGCACGCATCGTGTGCCGGTTTCCCCCTCCCTTGTACCCGGCGAGACAGCAGAAGTCCGTTCCATCCCACTGAAATCCACGTGTCGACTCCCCACGTCCCCCAACCAGCAGCCATCAGCACGGATGTCCAGCCCATCACGCCTCTCACCTGGAAGATGTCGTCGAAAGGCACCTGCGGCGCCGGCAGCCGGTTGCGGCCCTCGGACAACATGAAGCTGAAGAGCTCGGCGAACGAGAGCAGACTGCTCTGCGTCAGCGGACTGAGCGGCTCCAGGATGTGCTGCTGCATGTTGAGCGCGTACATCCACAGCTGGATGCAGCGCTGGAAGTTGCCCGTGTCGGCGTAGACGGCGCCCCGGTACCGGATGTAGTAGGAGGTGTCCGGGTGGGCCGGTCCCAGGATGCGCTCTCGCACGATCAGCGCCTGCCGACGCGACGGCGGCCGTCAGGTGCCGGCCACTCGGCCTCGGCCTCGGCCTCTGCTCACAGACTGAGTCTCCCCGGCCGGCTGACTGGGACGCCAGTGCTCAGGTCAAGCTGACGCTCCGGCGGCGAGCCGCTCCGCGCCGAGCTCTGCGCTCGCCACCGCCGCAGCGTGGCGACGTCAACGGCGCTTGGCGACAGCCGGCCCGGCTGGACCGGGCCAGCGTGACGGTCCTATCCAGCCAAATGCCTCGAGCGACATCTGGAACGCTACTTCCGAACAGGGAGACTCGTCCAGACATGCCGCAAACTGAACGATTTAGCCGGTGCTCTTCAGACGGGCGTACTAACACCGGTCACAGGAAGACGAAAAGTTTGCGATGAAAACGGTCTGCGGCAAGGTCACGGATTACGTGTGCGTGATGACAGGATACCTCAGAGGCCAGGACAGCAGGCGGTTCAATGACACAACCAGCACCCCGCCCGAACCCCAGCCGGATGAGATGCCGCCAACACCGCCGGGGAACGCCACTCACCTGCATCCGCATCTCATCCGGGTCGGAGATCAGGTCGTCCAGCTCGTGGTGCGTCAGCGCCTCCGAGACGTTCTCGTAGGCGGGCCGCAGCTCGGCCGAGTGCGGCTTGGGCAGCTGCCGCAGCGGATCCTCAAATCTGAGCACAGCGCCGCCGCAGGTCAGCGCGACTTCACCGCAGACCGCGCGATGCGGACGCGGCGGCGCGGCGGCTCTCGGCCGGACCGGCTGATTCACAAGTTCGGATTCTCGCTAAAACGCGAGGTTCGTGTATTGCACGAGTTAAAATGCGCGGCCAAACGCTCTTAAGACTGGTTTACCGCACGGCCGGGCACCGAACCGAGCGGCCAACAAAACCGACAAAAATGCTGACGATTTCCCTAAATTCGTTTATGTCTTCAGATTCAGTGCGACCGAATACCTCTACAGGATCTGGCAAAACTAGGCCGCACTGTACTGCATATGACGCAGCCGCTCGGCGCCTGAGTTTGGAATCGTTCTTTTTAGGACACAGCCCAAGGATCTGGCAACACCAGGCCGCACTGTGGCGCATATGATGCAGTCTCTCAGCGCTGGAGTTAACAATGTTTTTTTTTTTTGACACGGCAAGTCGATGGGCTCCATTATCTGCGTATCAAAACATGCGGGATGTCACCAGTTATGATGCTCTCTGCCCTAGTTAGTTTCTCAGCATATGCGGTGCAATGAATATAACAGAAAACATCCCCTCAGTTTAACCGCGTGCAAACGCTCACCGCACAACATAACGCACCCAAATGCCCGCAATGGGACCGCCACACCCATCGAACATCTAAGCGCCGCATGTGCACTCAGAAGAATGGCGCCGGGCAACGCATTACAGCCGCGGACCGATCGGAACAAAAATAATCTTAAGATGCTACCTAAGCACGGCCACCGGGCTCACGTTTACCCGCCCCCCCCCCCCCCCCCCAGCCCTATTCAGCCCGGATCCGCCCCTGCAGGCCACCGGGAGCCACGGCCAACCTCTACGAACCAGACGAGACGGCCGCCACCTGCGCCATTTCTGGTTCACCGGTTCAGCTCGGCAATGGCCAGGTCCGGTGAACAGGTCACGTTCGGAGCCGGACCAGCGTGTTGAACAGGGGCCATTCTACGGTTACCGTCCACAGCTTCAGCATACGTTGTACAATCGTAGCGGACCACAGCTTCCAACAAGGCGTGCTTTACCACCAGTTAATGAGGGCCTCCGCTTCACAAGCTCTAATCACTGCCACATCTCCTGCCTGTCGTCACGTACCGTTTGTCGAGCGCCCGCTTCCAGTATTTGATGGCCGCAATCAGGTCGTTCTTCTTGTCGACGTACGTGGCGCCGAGCAGCTCCAGCGCGTCGACCATCTCCTGGCGCGAGACCAGGTCCGGCCGCGCCAGCAGGTATTCCACGATGTTGGTGTGGCCGCAGACGGCGGCCGCCAGCAGCGGGGTCATACCTGCCAGCCAGGTCACCGTCGTCACACACGGCCACTGTCGCCAGTGGGGTCATATCTTTGTCCTTATCACCCCCGGGGTCATATCAGCCGGGGGTCAACGGAGCTCTCTGTGTACTCCGGCGGCCCAAAGGTCACCGCATGCCGTCGCCGTGTAGGCTTAATACCGTCACGTCTTGCACAAAATCGACGATCGACCCACGGGCACGCTTCTGGCTCGCCTTTGAACCCTAACGATGGACCGTAAACTCCGCCGCCCCCCAGCGGGCGCCGCCCCCTGCTGCAGGCCACCCAGGCCGCCGCGCGCCCACGCGGCGCCGGCGGCGCCCGCTGGCGGCGCCCGCTGGCGGCGCGCCCCCCGCTCACCGTACGAGTCGCGCTCCAGCTTAGCGTGGTTCTGGATGAGGAAGGTCATGATGCTGAGACTGCCACTCTCAGCGCAGTCGTGCAGTGCCGTGTTGCCCTTGATGCTGCGCCGGTTGACGCGCGCGCCCCGCTCCACCAGGAACTGGGTGATGTTCATGTGGCCCTTGTAGCAGCTGATCATGAGGCAGGTGTGACCGTGCCGGTTGGCGATCTCTATGTCTGAGGGGAGAGAGCCGACGCTCTGACCGCTGCGCCACGAGGGCGGCGCGTGACAACGGCGACCGGTGCTGATGACGACACGCTCGCGGAGCGGCGCCGCCGGGCTGGGGCACCGGCGCCGCGACGACTCTGGCGCAACACCGGCTCTCTGGCATGCCGCGTCGGGCACGGCGCGACATCATGACAGGCGCCGGCCCGCGCGGTGCTCACGCTCGGTGCCGTCGTGTTTATCGGCGGGCCAGTTAGCGCGAACTCAGTGCGCAGGATGGGGTTTTCCGGGGCTGTGCCGTCTCCGATTACCAGGCAGCCTCCGGCGGCAGATCGACACGCTGCGCGTCGCGCGCGCCACGGACGCGCCAGCCACCACACACCGGCCACTGCCGTCTGTTCAACGCTCGTCCGCGCCGCACGGCAGAATACGTCCATGTTTCAGTCCTGGCCGTTCTAACCGGCGCACAATGCCGAAACGTCACGCCTTCATGCCAGGGCCGGCTCTAAGGCACCCTATGCCTGCCGAGGTCCGTAAAGTAAGCAACTACGCCGTTGGCTGACACTTGCAAAAGCAAACATGTTGCGCGTCATTGGGGGCTTTCCGACGCGCTCAGCTGCTGACACCATTTGGCGTTGCCTGCCTCTCACCCTGGCACGATGGGCGGGCACCGCACGTAACCGAACCGTATACCGGTGATTTCCCAAACTAAAATATCGATGTCATGCTTCTCAGCGGCTGCTGTGGCCGACGGTAAGATACTGAGCAGGGTATCCGTTTTCATATTATGGAGAGCTTCTTTGCACCCACTGGCCATCTTATCTTATCTTTTCTTACAACTCTTTCTCATCCGTTATCTCTTTCCACTCTTATCACTCTTGTATCCTACCCACTCTTATCTTATCTTACTAGCCATCTCACTCGTTCTTATCTACTTTTATCTTAGCCAGTAAACAAATCACATCCGCACGCAAAGCAACGGTAGGCATAATACTACGGAAACTCTACAGCAGGCTTTCTGAGGATTTGGATGGATTGTTTCAGGTAGTGGTGGTGGTGATTTGGTGTTTTATGGCGCGTCGGCATCGGGGCCGTTGTACGCCCAGGATAGTGTTAACGCACTAGCCGAGACAGCTACGGCAGAGTTGAGACATTTAAACCGGAACCATGCCAGACTGCACATCAATTAGCTCGTCAAGTTTACACTTTCTAGGGCTCGATAGGACACAATAATTTCTTTGTCTTGCGACCACAATTTAACGATTTTGTTTCATTTTGTTTTGATGACGTAAGTACTGTGCTACAGTTATCGACTATGACAACCGAACACACGTCACACGAACACCTTGGGCCGATCATCATTTGACGTCGCCATGCAACCAGCCCCATTACCACAAGCACTAACTGAACACCAACGCACCGAGGCACTGCTCCCCCTCCCCTCCCCACCTCTCCGCGCGGCGGCCCTCACTCACTGGCTCCGTGCTCTACGAGGAAGCGGGCGATCTCGTGGTGGCCGTCGAAGCAGGCGGCGCGCAGCGGCGTGGAGTGGGTCCGCGTGGTGGCGTTGACGTTGACGCCGCGCGCTACCAGCAGGTGCACAATGTCCGCATGGCCGGCGGCGGCGGCGCACCACAGAGGCGGCGCGCCCTCGATCGTCTCGCCGTCAAATATCACTGCAACGGCAGCGCACGGCTGTCAGAGGTCACCACCGCCCGGTGTCATGGTAGGAGAACAAGGCCGCACGGCGTCACGGAGGAAAAAAACGCGGCCACCTGACGTCGTGCATCATAGAGTAACGAAACACTCGCGGAACACGACCAAATGGTGCTGAAGCACTGCGTCAAGACAGCAGTGAGTCCGAAGGCGTCGAGATGCTGCGCCACACATCTGTGATACAGAAAACGGCACAACAACAACAGACTCTCGTCACATTTGTCGTGGAGTGCAAGTGGTGTACGCGAGTACCCCATGCCAACAAACGCGGACAAAACAGGGAGTCCGGATAACATCTCACAGAGGACATCAGACAACAGAGGCAAACACACTCCGTCACGTCTTTGTCACTGAAATCGATGCCGGAAACCGTCTCGCAAAAAGCGGTTAGCCTGCCTCAAACCTGACGCACGCGATTCATGCAGATAAAACAGCTAGGCCTCTTCATGCTGCAGGCGTCGTCGTTAAGTAAAACAAAACAAACACGCACACAGGTGCCAATACCTCACACTCGATTACACATGCATCCGGCGTCTTTCCCATCCTTGACTCGGCTCTGCCCCGACGTGATTGGTCGCGTAAGGCCTCCAGATCCCGCCTCTTCCCTCCTGAAGGCCTCCTGCCACAGAGGAACCGGCACGGCCCCGAAAACTGTCCTGACCCGGCCGAAGTGTTGCCCTGACACTGCCCTGGCGCGACCCGGGCAGTCCCGGAAGCTGCCACGACATGACCCCGGTCATCCTCGACACGGTTCTAATCTGACCTAAATCATCGGTCTCTGTCACCGCCGTCCCTGTCTGGTGATGACGTCAGTCCGGGCTCCAAGCCCGCGGCGCCGCCACTTGTTGAAGGAGCGCCCATGCTGCCATCCCAGTCCCATCAGCAGCGGCCAGCAGAGCAGAGCAGAGCACAGCACAGCACAGCACAGCGCAGCACAGCACAGCACAGCACAGCACAGCACAGGCCACGGCCGTGATCGGTCCCAGCAGCCCCGACACAGCGCTGACCGGGCTCCGGTGCCGTCACTCTACAGAACGCTCTCCAGCGCAGTCCGGGCGCCGCCCCAGCGGCCGGCCGCGGCCTGAGCCGGTCCCGGCCGCGACGCCGTGGCACGCACCTGAGCCGACCTGCTCCGGGTCGGCGGCGCACCGCTCCAGCAGGTACTCGGCCACGTCGCGGTGCCCGTTGCGGCAGGCCATGACCAGCGGGGTGGCGCCGCTGGTGCGGGTCGATACGAGCAGCCTCACTTCATCCTTCGGCCGGCGGTCCAGAAATACCTGCCGGCGGCGGCGTCGGGTCAGGGCCGGGGTCCGCGTCCCGGTCCCTGTCGGACCGGTCCGTGGCGCAATGGGACACGCGCCGTGAACTGGGACAGACGGGCAGCCGGGCGGGCGGCGGTGGGCTGCACGCCGCCCGGTCAAGGATGCCATTGGGGCGGCCCAGCCTCGCTCGTCGCGGCCCGCCTCTGCCTCGTGTGAAGGCATGCCTGCTGGCGTGAGCGCACGGTGTGAGGGCGCAGCAGATGTTCGTGCGATGAAGCGATGGCGTGCCTTAAACTGTTCATCCAGGCGTATGAATGCACCGCGTCCCCAACGGAATGCCTGAGAGGGTAAGCCCGAAGCGTATGAATGCCAAAGTCAGTGCCAGCGAGTGGCTCACATTGCTGCAACCTGCCAGGTCCCTGATTTAGTGCGTCTGGCGACGTCTATCCTACCAAAAGGTCCGTTCTTTACAGCGCCTGATACAAGAGTGGACTGGCTTGACGCAAACAATGCACAACGTAGTGCGGTTATGTCGACCCAGATATTGACCATATCAGATGCCAAACAGGACTAGATCGCGCGAGGCGAGACCGCGGGTTGGGTAACCGCGGCAGCTGCCATGGCGGCGTCTGCAACGGTTTCTTCACAGCCCCCCCCCCCCCCCCCAATGCGCTGTCAAATCTGGGCAAATCCGATCGGCTCACCGATCCCAGCCAGACACCTCATTTGGTTTAAGACATACCCTCCGGTTCCGCCACAATCAGCGGCCACTTCTGATTGCCGAGCTATACCTTTGTCTAGCGTGGCAAATAATGTTCAGGCCCAGGCGTGGTTTAAACACTGGTTTTCCCGACGGTCTGGTGTTGATAACCACGCGCATGCATAAACTTCTGCGCCACAGACCCACACAATGGACAATGGCGGTAAATGTCCAGTCCGTGGCGACACACAGACCGGGCTGAGAGCGGGCAACGCCTACGGAGAACAACCCACGCGCCACGTCCGATCGCACGCCTCTGCTAGGAGTGACGCGAGACTGCCAATAGTGGGCACCGCGAGCCCCTACGCGCCGCAATGACGACGGAGACGCGGCTCGGGAGAGCAGGCGACGGCTCGAGCGTCCCAACGAGCGGCGCCGTCGGCAAGGTGGCGACTCTGGCGGCACCTTGACAAGGCTGCCGACTCCGGCTCGATTCAGTCCACGATGCGTACCCGCACGCAATCCCCTCCCCCGGCGGCCGAACGCGGCGCTCTTGCGCCGCGCCGCCGGCCAGCACGCTTCCCGGTGCGCCGCTGTCGGATGATTGAAGCGTAACTTGCATGCACATGGACACGGCCGTGGCAGCAGTGTGATGGATGACCTCCATTAGCTATCGCACCAATATCTAATGGGAGCATCCGCCGTCCGGGTTTGTTTTGTGGGGCACTGCGATAAACCTTTCATACATCGCTTTATGGTCATTGTTGACATTACATGCCGCCGTTTTTCTTTTCGTTTGCTGCGACGAACTTCGCTGCCGGGTTTCCGTGTCGACGCCTTCGCATTCGTCTTGCAACCGTACATGCCCACTATCGATACGACCAGCCCTCCTCCCCCAGCAGGGTGACGTGAGTCTGCCTGTATCTGGATTGCACGTACCATCTTATTAGTCCGAACAAGGCACCTGCACGCCTGCCCACGTACATTCCCGGAGGGCAAACTAGACCTCTGCCGAGCGGGAGAGGGAGACTGGCGGCCCTGAGCGCGTGGTCGTGCGGCGCCCTGCAGCCCACGGCGGCCGCTCTCGCCACGTGCCGCTGTCGGCGGCGGCGGCGGTGGGAGCGGTGGGAGCGTGCTCGGGCCGCCGGTCCGCTCCCGGACGCTGCCGGCGCCGCCCGGCCGAAGGTCGCCGGCCGACGGCGGCGGGGCCCCGCCGTCCCAGCGCCCGCTATCCGCGGCCGGACAAGACGCCCGGGCGGCGGCGGCGGCAGCGGCGGCCACGACGCAAAAAGCCTGTTGAAAGCGGAGCGCGTGCGGCCGCCGCCCGCCCGGCGTGCTGCAGGGCGGCGGGCGGCGCCGCGCCACACGATGCTGCGCGGCGGACAGCGGCGTCACGAACCGGCGCCAGACCCTTCACAGACCCGGCCGGCACCCACTGCCCACCCCCGCATCGGCGGCACAGATGCCAGGCGCGCCGAGGAATCCCCGGCGCCAGCGCTGGCCGCGGCCTCTTGGCAGCGGCGGTGGCGGCGGCGGCGGCGGCGGCGACTCGGCTGGCGCGGCCCGCGCGGGGCCCAGGCACGCTGTCAGAAGGTCACGGCCGCCCGCGGCCAAGTAGGACGTAAAAACACGCGCGCCGTCCGCGCCGGCTAAAAACCGCCCTCACGGCAGCGTGCGCCACTCCGCGCGGCTGCCTGCGCCCTCTCGACCCCCGAGCTCCGAGGGACACCGGTGAAAAACGCCGCGCTTGACGCGAATGAGACGGCCACTGCCGCAATTGAGCAGAAAGATGAGCCGGTCGAAACGCTCAGCGCTTCTTGTGAAGCGGGGAGCGTGTCCGGCCGGGTACAAAGAGCACTGCGCGCGGCGGAGAGACTGGCGCAAACCGGGACCTGTCCGCGGTGACGAGACCACCGCGATAACAAGCGCTCCACTGGCCTTGCAGGAGCAGCCTCGTCAGACTAAACCGACTGGCTGTGCGCCGCGACGGAAGCGCCCCAGCCGTCAGCTGTCCGGGCGCGGCGGCCGAGCGTGCCCGCCTGTCCAGCGGACACGTCGCCCACCGCCGGCGGCGTGTCCGCTGTCCGGTGCGGACAGACAGCCTTGGCTGAGCGCCGCCGTCCGTCGCCGCGTCGGCCGGCCGGCACCATTTCCACACCGATCCAAGGCCCAGCACCCGGCCAGTGAGTTACGACCAGCTCGCCGGACCATCCAGGGCCGGCCGCCGAGCCGCCGGCCGCCGGCCGCCGCGTGTTGTGACGCCGGTCATCCCGGCCCGAGGACGAGTGCGCGCCCGGGTGCACACGCGCAGCGGTCCGCCGCCCGCGCACCGGGCCTGCAGCGGCGCCTGCACAGCGCCGGGTCCGGCTGATCAGCCCCACCGAGCGGTACCGGTGTGGTGGGTAGTTCCACCTCCTCCGCCCACTGCCCCCATTAACTCAGCACTAGCCCTGACCAGTCTCAGTGTGACGACCGCCATTTCCATTTCCCCTGACTCGCACAGCTGCACCATCGAGAGCCATCAGTTGCATGTTTGCAATTTTGTCGTAATTCCTAAAAACAATCAGGAGGGTAGCATGCCTTTTCAACAGTCATTTATTACGAACAAGCCGCACTTTGATGCGCTACAGAGACTAGCGTGAGCGATTGCTGGGACTCTATAACAAGTGTTTTCCGTGAGCTGGTATATACAAACACATCACAGTCAGGTGTCGATGCGCACTGGTCACACCACTCACCCCAAATTTCAGTATGACTGTGGTTTCGGAATTAATACCGGCTACAAAATACTCCAGTTCTGTGCAAAAGAAAAGCCCGTGAAGGCGAATTCTTACGTTGAATATGCTGAGAATCTCAGGATATTCTTACGCTGGAAAAAATCGAGGTCTTATGATGAAATCGATATCGTTGGAAACAACATGACAATTTTTAAATAGGACTGATCCTATATGCACCTTTCAACTCACCCGGCTAAGTTTCGAGGAAAACTTGACGTGCTACCGTCCATCCGGTAATGATGTCGGAGCATGAATGATTGATCGGTTGATATCCCGTAACTAGACGGGTCTACGCAGATTAGGAACATTTTTCTTCCTTCCACGCGTCTTGGGATTTTTAATCATAATTTTTGTTTGACCTCGTTCACTAGTGACCATGAGCGGCGGCACAAAATGCCGACCGGGGAGCGGGCAGCGGGGCGGGGGCGCACGGCACGCCAATTATTCTCACGGTATTCTCAAGGACTGCTTGAGATCTTCCGATCATCGGCTCATCGGGGCATATTAGAGGTCGGTTTCTTTCAGCACACAAATTCATCATGTCGAAAAACGGATCTTAGGTATGTGTTGATAATGTCCCAAAACACCCTTCAAGATACCGGCGGATACCATGAGGACATTGGAGAGGCGACTGGGAGCGCGGGACCAAGCCGACATCAGGACTGGAGGCGCCGGACCGCTGCAGACAACCGGCAGTCGCGCCGCCTCCGCCGGCGACGTTTCCATTCCGAACTGAGCTCCGCGGAACCTGCTGAGAACCTGCGGACGCGGTGACGGACGAGCCCTTTCGCCCACGCAAACATTTACCATGTTCTGCGGAGCCGAAACACATCCGCTGGCGCAAGTACAGCGGCACGAAGCGGCGCCGACCGACCACATCACCTGCGCCTCGCCGCACGGGGGGGGGGGGGACGGGAAGTGGCCGGTCGCCACCGTGGGAGCAGGCGCAGCCAGCGGGCCGCGGCGTGGCCGTGACCCCGGGTCACCAGCCGGCGGCGGCGCACCACCGCAGCCGCGTCAAGGCCGCGCGGAAGCGGACCGCACAAAAACGCGGCCGGCTGGCCGGCCGGCCGCGCCGGAAGAGGGTCGCGCGCGCCGCGAGGTCGACCGGCGGCCAATCAGGAGGCCAGGCGGCGGCCGGAGCGCTGCGCCGCGCGACCCGCATACAGAGTGCGGCACCAGGCTGGACAAAGGCGCTCCGCCGCCGGCGCTCGACGCTCTGGGGCCCGCGGCCGAGACGACCGCGCCCAACGGGACGGCAGGTGGCAGAGGACCACACCCGGCGACAGCAGCGGTGTTTATCAAAAAAGTTGATGGCTTAGCAGGGAATGGCTAAAATCACCACCAAAACATGCCAAAACAGGGTTCTCGTGGATCAAAACTGGGAACTCCAGCCCCCCAATCCTGGACAGCGCATTGCACCCTTGCACAGGACACAAGACAAGGAAGGAGCGCATTCGGGACACGGGACAGCAAGCGACCTCCAACCGGGACAAGGGACAGGGGAGGACCGCATACGGGGCACGGGACAGCAAGCG